TATGCGCATTGGACATACATCTTGAAGTCCAAATCAAAAGAATACAATAAACCAAACGCCTTCATCTGTTTGGGCCCACACTGGTTAGGCAAAGTCAATAAGACCTTCCCGACTGGGAAATATGCGAAAGAAAAATCATTACACCGAGTTCTTCAGCTCGGTATGATAAAACCTTTACTTACACCAAGTTATTCAACTTGGTAAGGCTGATACCCATGCCTTTATCGAACTCTTCAGTTCGATAGACTAAAATCTTTATTTTTACCAAGTTCTTCAGCTTGGTAGGGTTAGAAAGCCTGTTCGTAACCGAGTTCTTCAACTCGGTGGGCAAATATATCATATCGATAACATCTTTGCATAGAGATCGATAGCAATACAAGGGGCCCGAGTGCCCGCACCAGCTCAAAATCTATACTATTATGATCATTTCAGACGCAAATTCATCCAACGCGTCCTATTACACACGAAAACCGGGTACCGAACTACCCGACCAGGCCAACCAGGCCCATTCATATAGTATTTTCACATAGTTGACTATCCACGCAGTCGACTCCACTCGTTAGAACAAAAAATATAATTACCGTCAATGCGACAGGCCAAAGCCTAAGCACGATCAGAAATTTGGCTCCACGGGTCCCAAAGTACCCGACCAACATCGATACATTATTTATCACAGCTAAATTGGCTATACACGTGACTTCAGAACAGTTCTATTCAGAACATGTTCTAAAGTCAGGGGCCTACTGTTAATACCCAATTTTGGCCTCGCCTATTAAAATATTACACGTAGATATGAATTATATCAATTATTTTATTTTAGGGCCGCAAATAATACCGCTTGTAATAATAATGGGCCCACCAAATATATATATATAAACCCCAATGATGGACATCAGACAGATAGGTCTGAGGGGCTATCATTATTTTTTTTTTTTTTCTCTCTAATCCTACAAACAGAGGCGGTGCCTTCATGGCTCCAATTCTTCTTTTTGTTCTTCATTTTTATTCATTCAATCACAGAAATACTCAACAGTAATCACATATAAACACAATATTCTGAATCCCCCATGTTGATACAAATTCGCATATCAACAGGAATAACTGTATAAATTTATTTCCATAGGATTTTCCGTTGGATATTTGCTATTCCAACGGCCATTTTTCCAACGGATTTTTATACGTAGGAATATCCGTTGGAATAACTATTCCAACGGAAAATTTCCGTTGGAATGTAAGAGTTTTTTTTTTTGTAGTGAATTATTAATCTATATTTTAGGAAAATGTCACGGTCCCATTACGGAAGTCCGTCATTTGTAACTATTGAATTTGTAATTGTTAGATCATCATGTAACCGTCGGAAATAGTTAATCTAACGCAGTGGCGGAGCCAGGATTAAAATCTACGTATGGCGAAAGAGAGTCGGCGAGCGGCGAGCGGATGGAGCAGTACTGCTGGCGGGCGTCGGCGTCGGCGAGAGCGGTTCAAGAGAAAGAGAGTCGAGAGAATTCAGATCGATCGATAAAGTGGAGGATCATGGTGAGAAGGATGAAAAACGGAAAAAAGATGAGGACTTGGCCATGAAAGAAGGGATCTTGAGCAAAATTGCAGCAGAAATGTGGGTCGCAGAAGGTTAAGAAGACGAAGCAATTGGGAATTAGGATTATGGCCAAAAGCTGAAGTTAAGACAAGAAAAAAAGATTTTTTGTTATTTAACTTGGGTTGTAGGACTTTTGTTATTTAAACTCAAATATTGGGTTTTACTTAGAGTTAGGTAATATGTTCGGTTTCTGCATTTTAGCCTTTTGGGTTAATTCAGCCCATTTCATTTTTATTATGTTCAGATTTTCTAGCAAGGGTACGTTGGGAAATGAGTGAGGAAAAATTGTAAACAAATTATATTTACCCCACATTGGATTGAAGGAAATTAGATAAGCTGTTACAATCAATTACTTTTTTCTCTCTTCTCACCATCTTCCTTCTTTTCTCTCTCTCTCTATCCCTTCTCAAATTCTTATTATTCAAAAATGGCAGAATTATATTTACAGTAATTCTATTGTTTTCAGAAAAAATACAAAAAATATCAAAAAATACAAAAAGAACTGGGGGGTGGGGGGTGTTCGCCGGAGGCCAGGTATGGCGGCCGCCATGCCTCGCCATACTGGTGGCTCCGCCACTGATCTAACGGTTATAAACCTCGATAGAATGGTTCCGAAAACGTAGCATCTTCTTTTATTTTATTGCATGCAATTTCCGCATTTCGCTTATAAGAAATTCAAGTAAAATTTATTCATAAATCATTAAAAACATAAAGTCTCACACATAAATATTGTGCTAAACAACAAAACCAACGCAACATGATTGTTCGATACGTTAAAGACAGACTCAACCAAAGAGAACAACCTAATCCAAAAAAAAAAAAAAAAAGCGCTTACAAACACCCTTATTATTCATTAATTCATTAAGAAAAAAAAAGTACATGCATGCATAAAATCAAACTAACAAAAGCCGCCTAAGCGGCCGCCGCCATGGCCCCTCCAGCCGCTGCCGCCGCAGGAGTCAGCACGTAGATAACGTACACGTAATGCCCCACCTTTGTAATCGGGTCGAGCGACACGGTTCTCGCCAGCACGACTCCTTTCGCCAGTCGGAAAATCCCGGTCCCACCCACCACCGATAAAATCCGAACCTCCTCGTTCACGGGCTGCCTCCCGAAAATACTCATCGTGCTCCCCTCGTAAATCCCGCCCTCGAAAGTCATAGCCATGTTCATGTTGGCGGCCGGTTCGCGGAAATCGGAGTACACGTTCGTCCCTTGGTAGCGGCCGAGGTACTCCGAGCCGGGATCCGCCGTGACGGTGAGCGGGTTGTCTATGACGTAGACCCGCCCGTAGAACCCGGGCGACTTGGCGGTGATGTCGCATGAGGCCACCTCAAAGACCGTTTGGGTCTTGGAGCCGACGAGAAAGTCAGCGTGGATGTAGATTTGGAGCTTGGTGAGGGTTGAGTTTCGGGAGTTGGCGAGGAGTTTGAAGTGCCGGTCGAGGGAGCGGGCTGTGGAGGAGAAGTCGGAGGAGGCTCGGGACGGGCTGGGCCACGAAAGGGCTAGGGCTATGGAGAGGAGGAGGATGAGGATTGTGGATAATGGGTTTGTCATTGCAAGTGTTTTGAATTTCATTTTCATTTGTGAGTGTGTGTGTTTGTGTAAAGGGAGGTTTTAAGGGGAATTTATAAGTGAAGAGATGTAGGAGTTAGAAATTAGGGGTTTATGAGTGTGTGATTGAAAAAAGACAAAAGGAAACATACTAGAGACTCATTTATTTTTGTTGTGTATGGGGTGCATGCGATTCTTGCTTCCTTTGTTCCATATAATAGCAAAAGTTTTAGAAACCAAAAATCCCATGCGATTCTCACCAAATAATTGTAACTTTTTTTTTTTATTTTAATTCAAAAATCTTTATCCCATGTCCTAAATTTAGAGGTGACTTATATGAATAAAACTGCAGACACCTCAATTTTTACTACCACTTTTTTTTTTTTTTTTTTTTCAAATATAACATATGATATAGCAAGTGATCAGCTAGGTTAAGAGTTCGATTAAGAAGGCCGGTTTCGAGTTTTACCTTGGTTAGTCGGTCTGATGTACGTAAACAGACTTGAGCGTTAGAATGTTTACTCCAAAAATCACTGCCAATACTTTCACATACTTTTACAGGTCTGAAGCTAACACTTATATTATATTAGGTGGCTTTTAAGCCATCATTAATAAGCTCAAATTAACTTATAGATTATGTTTGGTAAACCTAACTGATAAACTAGCTTATAATTTTTTAGTAAATTTCAAGCTTATAGCTGATAATTTATGACTTACGGCTGAAAAACTAACTTATATGATATAAGTATCTGGTAAAGTTAACTAATAAACTAGCTGAAACAAAAAATTCAATGAGCTTATTCAAAAAGCTACCCAAAAAAGCTTATAAGATGAGCTCGGGCTTTTAAAAAAAGCTCGCCTTACCAAAACTGCTATGTGTTCACCAAACACAACTTATAAGTTAATTCATCAACTATCAACTAGTTTTTGTTTTTCAACTACATTCACCAAAACATACCCTAAATGATTAGGCTTAAATACAAAATTGACTTTAAGCATAAAATTATAATTTTACAAGCCTAAGTAGCTAATTTCCATTTTTTTTAACTCAATATGGTCTTTTTTTTTTTTTTTTTTTTTTTTTTTTTTTCTAGAATCATCAAATGGTCATTTAGTTGTGGTATTATTACCACTAAAAACAAGATCCATTTGTAGTTCATTTTATTTTCTTTTTCTCCATGTTTTCTCACAATCTTCCTGTTTAGGAGCATCAGTACTGTTACTAAAAAGGTTGAGCAACAAAATCAACCCTTCAATTTTAATTAACAATAAGTACATTAAATTTGCAGATTACACAATTCATCCAATCAACAATTAACAAGTTTTAGGAAATTCATAGATCACAGGACATTTAAGAAAATAATTAATATCAATGAAATTTTCTGCCATCGAGCTAGACGTCTAGCATAGTTCTAACAACAGCAAAACCTTGTTCATCACATGTTAAGATCGAACACTAAACATAAATTACCATTACAAGGACCTAATAAACATTTCCCCAAATAAAAATGTAAGACTGCTCTATAGCTAGTTCCAGTTCAGTTCGACTTTAAATCAACCCACTAAAGAGATCACCAATGTTCTTTAACTAACCGATCAAAATAAAGAAGTCGACAAGCAAGAAGGGGATGAGCAATTGAGGAAACAAGACAAAAGTAGCATGAGAAAGCAAAAAACCTCAACTGGAAGTTAACGATTGTTCACGCCCATAAGGACGTGTTTCTCTAGCAACATCGTTTTTAATCTGCCTACGGATTGGGTTGATGACAAAGAAGTACTGTCACAAAAAGGAAAGAAAAAATGAATCACATTAGTATCTCTTAGAATTTGTGTCCAAGTTAATAAGAAGTATCAGTTGGGAGTGTACAAGTTTAGAGAGGCTTACTTGGAATGCAAGGATTAAAGGGATGAATACTTTTCCTCTCCCGTTAGCATTCGGACGGTCAATCAACTTTTGGTCGATGAGGATACCCTTTTTTCCATTTAAGGCGATATCGGTGATGGTACCAAGAATATTAGGAATCCATGGAGTGCCATTTGGAAGGATCTTATAAAAAAAATACTTTGTAATAAAATCTCATAACACGCAAAAATTATAAAAGTAAATACTTTTGAAAGAAAAGATGATAGGCGCCATAAAAAAATATGAATTATTACCTTTTCATCGTGTTCATTCTTGTTACACCTCCAACTGTTCTCAACCAAAGCAACAGGAATAGAAAATTCCTACAAATTACAGAAATAAGCATCAAAGTGTTAGAGGAAAATGAATGGAAAAATATAAAGCCAGAATAAAATACTATGTGAAAGTCAATTAGCAGCGACCCAGGCTGCAAAACGATCAAGTTTGAACGCATTTGAAGTTTTCATCGCGTACCGAAATTCCTGAAATAATTTTAACATCAAACCTACGTGGAATTTCACTTTTTCACAGAAGAAGGTTAAACTTAACCAGTTGAAAGTCGCGACTTCAAAAGACGCGATGACAATATTTATAAATTCTCTCTGAGTATTTTCCTACCTTTGAGGCACTCCATACGAGTATCCCAGCTTCTAAAACCACTCTTCCATGTAAAAAATGATAATCATACTACTATTATGCTCCCAGCATGGCAATTATCAAATGTGCATCTAAACAGGAATCAGATAGTTCTCCAATTTCAGTCAACATGCATATAAAAAATCCTTACAGAGTCCACCGGTGTGTGATGCTACTGCGTACCTTTACCAAATCTTCTTAAAGAGATTATGCCAAGGTTTAGACTAGCTATAAAATCTGGTGATTTTCAACATTAGAAATCCTCCCTTAACAAAAATAATTTGTTCTGAGTGGATAAAAGATGAATATGATATAAAAAGAGAGCATACTTGAACATCTTTTTTGCTCATCCGAGCCCCTTCCCGTACACATTTCAAAACGGATTCTGATCTGCTGTAAAAGAACTCCTCAAAACCCAAAGAATCCGGAGGTGAGAACTGAGCGTGAGTGAGTACAACCACTGTTTTGTGCCATATTTCTTTGCCAAAACTATCGGTGATGGCTTTCACGACCTGTTTGTCCAAATCATCAACTCTGTACGAATCCAAACGGTCCACGTAAAGCAAGACATCTACAGTTTTTCCCTTGAGGAACCTGCCCAGGAAGCCCAAACACAAAAATATAGCAAGTCATCTTTAGCAGAAAGGAGGCTAGGCTGAAAGAAAAGGTTTGTGAACTGTAAAATTTCAACAAGAGATAATTAAACCCCACAATCTCAAACCTTTTTGTGGCATCCAGCACCTGTCCGTTGATGTATCCTCCATCGACAAGCCCTGGAGTGTCGATAATGTTCAATATAATACCAAATCTTAATCGTGACCGTGAGACCAGCACGGGACGTGGGGTTTCTGACTGATAAAAAAATTGACATAATTATTCCTGATAAGCAGATAATCATAAAACATAACTATATGAAATTTACGCAACTCAAAAATTCCTTTAAAAAAGATTAGTTACCATAAAAGCACCAGCAGGCACCATTCGTTCCCCTATAATGGAATTTATGGTGGAAGACTTACCGACATCACCTTTCCCCATCACCAGGATTGTTACTGTGTGGACATTCTACGATAAATAACAATATTAAACAGTATTTGCAGCCCCCAATCAAACTTATCCAGAGTCATTTGTTGATAGATCCACAGAGATTTCAGAAATGGAAAACCTAATCACAGAACAATGTCCTTAAATAAATAAAGCATAGAGTGTAGCAATTTACAAAGGCACTTTTAGACCGACTATGGAATTCGGAACGCAAATTCGAAACATAAGGGCCTTTTTATTCGTAACCTTAATGTACTTACGGCATTGTCGTGAATCGGAGCCAGGTTTAAAAACAATTATAACCAAGAAAGATAAGTGAACCTGTTTCCTTAATTTTGCAAACATCTCGAACACTTTTTCTCGACTGGCATAAGGAAACTTATCAAGCTCAGTCCATTCTCGTTCAAATTGTCCAGCCATTTGTTGCTGCCCATCATCACAATGAAAATTTCAAATCAAATATGCAGAATAAATTGCATCAACAACAATGCGCATTCACGCAAAGAAAATGTAAGGAAAAAGGGCACCAAAAAAAAAAAAAGACTTAGAAACCCAAAATTCTGGTTTACCTAACACAGAGCATAATACTATCACAGCCCATTCAACAAAATCGATTCTTTATTCAACAAACCAACTTCGAGGGACATTAATAATGTCCAGAGCAATTTTAGCAACATCAGTGGAGGTGTGGAGCGAATAGAGCGGCAGAAACTGGAGAAGGGTTTTAGATAAATGTGAGAAATTAGACGGTTACCTTATCGGGAAATCGGTGGCTTTACCGGTGGAGCACCACCTCCTTTCTGTCTCTAACTGGCCGCGTCCGGTGGAGGCCGAGGGCTTACTGAAAGTTTCTGCTTTTATCGGCATCTTTTATTTATTTGAATAAAAACAATTTTGAAATATAAATTGTGAAAATTGTTGAAACTGTTTTTTTTTTTAGTCAGCCACATATCCGGACAACAAGGGTTTTCTGGACGACAAGGGTTATCTGCATTTACAAAGACCAAAGACCTTGTTTAAGCCATATCAAGCTGCTTACCACTTGAATCAACCCCTATGAAACCATTTTTTAGTGGAAATTATACGTTGACACGTTGTTGACCTAATTATGCATATTTTATTTAAATTATTTCATACTAAGTATATTGCTAATTTATAGGGTTACCTGTAAAATTTCATTTAACTAATTGTTAACTAGTACGAATCTTGTGAGATGCACGGGTAAGAGACGTTTATTACATTAATATTTATAAAGAAGTTTAAATTGTGCAAAATCACATAGAATATGTTTATTTAAAATTAGTATACAACCCGACAATGAAGTGCAGCTTGAGTGGACTGGGAACTGATCCTACTTAAGATGAAAAAAAATAGTACAAACTCCTACGGTGCATGTAATTGATAATAAAATACATTATATTAATTTCATAATAAGTGTCATATTAAATTTTTATTCAGAAATTCGATTTAACTACAATATGATTCCATAAAATAATTATTTTGGTAAAATTTTATCATATGTTTAAAAATTTATATTTATATAAATAATAAGTATAATTCACATTAGCTAACAAAATTGAATCTTTTACCATAAAACATAACTACAAATTCCTAATTACTCATGTAAGAGAAGGATGAAATCTGACAAAATGCAATCGGGCGGCATGAAATCACACAGTAGCTATAGAGATTGAATCTTTTACAATGAGTTATAACTAATCCCACAAATTAAGGGAAACATTTAATGCTTTTTCATTTTACTGAATAAAAAAATTCAAAAACTTACTCAAATTGGTAAGTATTTAATGTTAATAAACTTTGACTAAGAATTTGACTTCTTATTTTTAAAAAATGTTATTCTTTTTATATAAGTATAGATTTATTGGGTTGCTTGTGATGGCCTTGTTTGGCGATCAATGGATAACAAATAGCGGATAGCGGATTGTATCAGCGGATAGCGGGTCATATTAACTGATTTGACCAACGGATTGCATTAGCGGTTTTTAATAAGTGTTTGGTAAATAGCTGAAAGCTTATAGCTGTTTGACATTGTAAAATAACCAATAATGACATTTTATTATTTAGGTGTATTCTTTTAATAATAATGTATTAAAACATTCGATATTATTTAGTTGGTGATTTATATATATATATATATATATATTTTTTAAATTTACTAACACTTGATGAAGAAATTATGAATTTTATATTTTTCTAGATAAATATATCATATGGATGTCATATTATTATTTATCAGCACCATAAACCAAAATGTACATTGTAAAATAAATAATACAAATTAAAAAGTTCCAAATAAATGATTGTGAACCCTCCATCCCAAAAAACTGCTCTAATGAGCTTTTTATTAATTAGAGTTTTGGGCCTAAAAAGCTTATCAAATAAGTTATTTACCAAACATGCTCAATAGCGGATTTGATGGGTCAAACCTCTCAATTAAGTCCAATCTGCTAATTATCTTCAATCCCGCTATCTTCCAAACGGGGCCATTACAACATTGTATGAATTAATTTTATAATTCCTACTTACGTTTTTGTTCACATATTTTGAACTTTCAATTTCAATATTAGTTATTATTTATAAAGGAATTTTGTTCACATATTTTGAACTTTCAATTTTAATAATTAATATTCTTTTATTTTATATCAAATTAATTTTAGTTATTATATTTTATATTGATTCATAATTAAACCTTGTACTACTAAACATGATTTTACCTCGCCCTCCAGCCTTGTTTCCTTCATCTTGTTCGCTCGAACTTCGAATTCTTGCTCAGTATCTTTCACAAGCATGGAGAAGCTGAAATCAGTAATCCCTGAAGAGTTACGGCGGCGAATCTCGGAGAGCAAGACCGATGACCTCCGCTCAACGTGCTTTTCTCTCCTTAATTTCTTCGAGACATCGCACCTGTTTCACCAGGTACCCGCTTTTAATGAATAAATAAATTAGAAGCTCATGTTTCTTTATTTTGCTTCTCGTACATTCGATCGAGCTTGTGTAGATGGTTAGAGACTTGACGAGCCCAGAAATGGCTTTGTGCGGGAAGAGTAAAGAAGGTGCGATGGAAGCCAAGGCCAAAGGCAATGAGTGCTTTTCAAAAGGGGATTATTCAAGTGCTTTGCATTTCTACTCACAGGTTGAACAAAAAAGATTGATCTTTTTAGCCATAATAACTAAATTTTACACTTCAAGGAGGAGTTCAAGTCTTATGGGTTGTTCTATTTCATTTCTTTTTCTCAATTTTATCTTCTGTTTTAGCTAAATGCTGGATGATGGAATAATTTTACACGTGCAACTTATTCGATGTGTTGAAATACAAGATGAAATAGAAAATGAAGTGGGGAACCAAACTGAGTACGGCCAACATCCTTGGGCTCGTGTTTTACCTTGGTCTTAATGCCTCACTCTTTGATATTCTATTTCGTTTTATGAGCATTAGTTGTTATGGGAAAGTATTCATGTTGTGCTCGAAGTATCAACTCTGGATTTTGAAATGTCAGATGTGTTACTTACCTTAAATGTTTGGTTCACATAGGACCTGTTACTTTAAAGGCTTCAGATTTTTTTTGTGGGACGTCTAACGTTGTATTCAATACTTGTATCTTCTTCTGGTTCCCAGTTTTTTTCAAGTAGTGAAAAGGCAAGGTATGGATCTTGTTAAAATTATGTATTTTGTGGTTACCAAACCATGTATGAAATGTGGATTTTGTGCTTTAGTGATTAAGATGAATCATGTAATCATTCTCTGCACATGAATTGAGCAGGCTCTGCGTGTTGCACCAAAGGATGTCAAGGATAAGGAGAAAAATCTGGTTGCTACATTGTTCCTCAATCGTGCATCCTCATTGCATGTGAGTTTTTGCCACGATTTTTTCCTGTGCTATGTGTATTATATTACACAGGAGTGCTTTCTTATCGTGTTTAATATGGGCTTAAAAATGGAAGGCTTATCATATCGGCTGGTCCCTTTTTTTATTTATTTATTTTTCCTTGAGCAGAGGTTTTGATCCATTTGATGCAATTGTTTTGAGTTAATTAGTTTGATTGATTCTTTCTGTATTCATGATTTCTTTTTGCCTGTTTATCTTCAGAAATTGGGATTATTTCTGGAAAGTCTGCGTGACTGCAGCCGGGCTCTCATAATATCCCCTGCATATGCGAAGGTGTGGTTTTTATCATCTATCATGTCCATTTTACTTAAAAAATGAATAAGGACAAAAGAACAAAAAAGGATAAAATCCTTGGGCAACGGGTTTCATTTATTTCTACCCCTGTTAACTTAAATGTAGTTATGCAGAAAGTATATTGCGGCTTTCAGGAACCTTGTGCGGTTTTGCTGACCATCATCTTTTGATTAATTTGGTGGAAACTTGTGATTATACTGTTCAAAACTCACTTGAAAGCTAACTCACTCAGAGTTGACATAATTTATGGACACGTACTTTTGTCATTGCATAACATCAAGAAACCGCATGTCAGTTCCTCATTTTGATTTTATGTATTTCGTTTGAACTAAAATTATGTATTCATATTTTTCCCAGGCATGGTTCTGGCGAGCCAAGGCAAATTCTTCATTGGGCAACCTCAAAGATGCTATAGATGATTTGAATGTATCCCTTAGCGTGGAGACATCCTCAAGTGGGAAAAGACAGATAGAAAGTGAATTAAATATGTTAATGGGCCAATCAAGGTTGAGAAGCAAGGCAGTAGAGAATCCAAATAATGACAATTCAGGTTTTTCGTCGTCCTTCACTAAATGTAATATTTAAGCTATCATATCCAGTATGCATTACTTTTACTGCTTGCACCACTTATGTTTGCTCTCTCTCTCTCTCTCTCTCTCTCTCTCTCTCTCTCTCTCTCTCTCTCTCTCTCTCGTGTGTGTGTGTGTGTGTGTGTGTGTTAAATATCTACTCTCTGGTAACATGTGTTTTCTACTGTCTTGGATTCATATAATGTAGGTCTTATGTCACAGATGAGAGACTTCAAATGGATCTCCATTGTGTCTCCACTACAGCTAAAGGAAGGGGGATGGCCGCATCTACCGACATTCCTTTGGCATCTTTAATTCACAAAGAAGAACCTTATGCTGCGGTATGGACTAAAAAAGATCAATCGAACAATAGTACACTCTAGCAATTACAAGTAATATTTACCATGCATAGTAGATAATACGTATCCTTCCGGGTATCTGATATGTATCATTTTGTCAATACTGATTGTTTGAATTCTAACACGGCAAATTGGTGCAGATTCTGTTAAAGCACTGTCGGGAAACTCATTGTGCTTTCTGCTTCAATGAACTACCAGCAGATACTGTGCCATGTGTGTCTTGTTCAATCCCACTGTACTGCAGCCTAAAATGTCAAGTGCAAGCTGGGGACCAATATTTTTCAAATTGTAAGAAAGACCATGGATCTCTACAAGACTTGCCTCATGATCTTGTGCGATATATTAGAAACGTGACATTACCTGACATTTCAAGTTCAAACACCGAACGTGCTCCAGAACATAGGCATGAATGCCGAGGCATGCATTGGTCTGCAGTTTTGCCATCAGATGTGGTTTTGGCGGGCCGTATTCTGGTAAAGCATATGGAAGAACAAGGTTCTGGTGCTGCTCATCCTATATTTCATGGGGTTCTGGTAATTATGTAAATATAAAAATATTTTTGGTGTCTGCTTGGGCGTTGCTTCATGGTTTTGTGGTTTTATTATGCTCCAGACTGAAAACCATTTTTTCCTTTTCTTTCTCCCCTCTAGAATCTCTGTCAGAATTATGAACGACTTTCAGCTGAAACCAAATTGGAGTATCACATTTACTCTATAATTCTGCGACACAGTCTTCAGCAATTTTATAGTTCTAAACTTTCTTCAGAGTTGGCCATTGCACCAGAGGTAGTTCCGATAGTTATGATACGAAGTTCATATCGTTGAAGTCTTTGTCCATACATTATATCTCTCTTTTTTTTTGCCTCGTTTGATGTGCAGATTATTTTGCTCCTCTCTAAAATTAGGGTCAATTCCATGGCAATTGTTCGTATTAAATGCTCAGATGGACAGCAGCATCCTGATTGTGATGCAACCAGTTCTGTGGAACAGGTATTTGTTGCTGGTGAAATATTTAACTATTGGGGTTGAACGATCATCATAGTATCAATGTTAATCATTCACCAAATGTTAGTAAATACAGTGACATTAAATATATCAGGTTGAGAAATATTGGAAATTAATTAAATCTTTTTTTTTTTTTGTGTGTGTGTGTGTGCGCGCGGATGTGGGGTTGGAGGGAACATTGTTGCTGTGTATGTGTTATATACTATTGAGTATTGACAATAAGATAGCAGGGCATTTAAGATTGTTTGTTGTGATTTCCTCTGTGATCGAAGGCTTTGCATTTATGTTACTAGGCATAATTGTTTTCTCTGATACCAGTCTCTCTCTGTTCGGTATGATGGTATCAATATGATCTAATCATAGTTGTGGAATTTCAAGTATACTAAATCCTTCAGATTGTTTATTTTTATAGGTCCAAGTGGCTCAAGCTGTATATTGTGGTGGTAGCTTATTCAACCACTCTTGCCAGCCAAACGTCCATGGATATTTCCTTTCACGTACCCTCTTTATACGAGCAACTGAAAATGTCGCCGCTGGATCTGACCTGGAACTGTCCTATGGCCCTCAGGTAGTCAGGTTTTGGATTTGGTAAATATATCCTATTTGTTGAAAAATAGAAATAAACTGATTTCTTTGGTCTCTTATCGTAGCAAAGCGGACTAAGATTCTAAGATGAAGAATTTTATCCCCATGAAATAATTACCAATTGACAATCATCACATAAGTATCATGAACCCATTTTATGCTCAATAACTTGTCAAAACACCATAAATAGTAGAATCAATATATTGCAAAAATAAAAAAATAAAAATAAATAAATGTATATTGAGTTTGTTCTTAGTTGTATATTATTGACTACAGGTTGGGGAGTGGGATTGCAGTGAGCGTCGGAAGTTTCTGGAAGATCGATACTCATTTATCTGTCAATGTAATGGCTGTGCACAAGTGAATCTACCGGATCTCTTCCACTCCGGCTACCGGTGTACTAAGCCAAAGTGCTTTGGAGTTGTCCTGGACATTGGTGTTGCTGAATATGAGCTAGAGAAATTCAAATACTGTAAAGGATTAAACTCTTTACAGGTATTGTGCATTGAACGTTTGTAAGTTGCACAAAATTCTTGTTATTAAACTTGTTTGCTTAACTCTTAGAACTCGTGGCATATTTAGATGAAAGTGCACTACATAAAAATAAGATCTAGTTTTACACACTTAACGACATCTAGAATGGTTATTCTTTCCCTTAAAATCAGTAGGAAAATAAAAGCCTTGCTGTAATTATCATTTTTGTGTTTCATTTTTCATATCGACGAGCATTTCTAATTAATCACATCGTCTCGCATGACGAGGGTTACTGTGGCGCCACTTGTTGTAACTGTATTTCTGTATCTTTTCATTATAATTCAATAGATACAAAGGTTCTATTTATATATGCAACTAAGAGACAAATAATGCTAATCAAATAAATCCTATCCCTTCTTGAGGATAATATTATATACTTTCATAAAACTCTATAATCTATATTTGCATGCATCCTAACACCACTAAACATGTATATAGTTGTGATCAAGTTTATCTTTGCTCATTATCTTATTTGCTCTGTTTATTGAAGGAGTGTGTGCTCAATGACAACAAGTTTGGTGGAGTAGCCCGCCACATGTTTGAGCAAAGTGATTATTGGCGGTGCTTTAAGCCAGGCCATTGTTTGAGTTGTGGCTCTTTTTGTGATATACAAGCTTCGCAACGGAAAATTACTGGAGGTGATGTTTATGTTCGAAGGTATAATGCAAACTTTTTCACTCATTCATTTTCTTTTATTCGTGGAACTAAAAAATCTTGAAATAATTATGTCACGTAGTTCTGTTTGTGCCAACTGTCAAGATTCCGTTTTACATAACCCGATTTGTATCTCTGTTACATATAGATATCCACATCCTGAATGTGTAATAAACTGCTAGCATTTTCCCTTTTTTCTTTTCTTTTCTTTTTTTGGTAAGTAACTGCATTTATCAGTATAGATTTCACCGTTCCATTTACTGGTTAGGTTGCAGGATACGGTAGCTTCTGGAGATCAAATCACAACTAACTTAATCACGGATGCTCTGAAATATATTGATATTTTAAAAGCAGTACTGCATCCATTCAACAAGAGAGTAGCTGAGGTACTTTCATTTGTTTTTTGTTTTTTTTAACCTTCTTATTTTATACTTTTATATATAGAGAGTAAAACTTATCCTTGCATTTTCTTATCTTGATAATTGATACATTTGCAATATTTTAGATATCCAACGAACAAGTCTTCAGCTGATTCATAATGTTTTTTTCTTTTTTTTTTTTTTTTTTTTTTTTCAGGTGGAAGATAATATTGCACAAGCATTTTGTTTGGTTGGAGAACTTCGAGCTGCACTGGACCATTGTCAGGCATCAATTGAAGTAAGATTTCAGTTGATCATGATTTTCAGAATTAGAGCAATCTTTGGATTTAACAACTTTGACCAATTTTTGCAGAGGTCTATGTTAATAATAACGTTAGAATCTCCCCCTCCCTAAGTGGAATAAAAAAGTAACTCATATATATGTGCACGAACTATTTGTAGTATAAGTACCATATGGTGAGTGCGAGTGTATTTTTCTAGCCCGCGTTCTACACCTTATAAGCTTGCTCTTGATGTTTGACCGAATTATAGAGAAAACCCAATTGTTTTTCAAAACTTGCTGCTACTGTTTGATGTACTAAAAACTGCCACTCGAGGGTTCCTTTTCTTCTCTGATATTAGATTCCTTCATATAGAGGCTGCTATGTGCTTGAACTGATAACCCTTCTTTATTATGAGCCTTTTATGTTTGTCATAAAATTATAGGCCAATCTGTGTAACTTCAAACTTTTACAACAGATCTTGGAAATGCTTTACGGTGAAAACCACATTGTTGTTGGGAATGAGTTGATTAAACTAGCGTCCATTCGGCATTCCATGGGTGACAAAATGGATGAAAAGGACACGAGTCGAATGGTACAAATATTTTCTCGATATTACGGATCTCACACAGACATCATTTTCCCACATTTGCGGTACCTGAAGAGTGGAGCCCGCAGCTCCGTTTGAGTTTGGAATTCATGCTCGTGTTTTTGTTCATCTGTTGACTGCCTGATCCTTCTGAAGTTTCAATGCATTCTTGTCTGGAGATTAGGTAATGGAGCAACTTGGTTATGAAAGATTTTCCAGTTTAATCTGTAAGATTAAATCTTAGTTTAATTATTTTTTATATATATATTTTTTTAAGAGACTAGTTTGTATGGTTTATTCATTTTTTTTTTATTATTTTTAATTATTCCAACAAACTAAGTACATTACATTATGAACAGTATGAAGTGTAATTGATAACATAGTTTTTGAATAATAAAAAGTGGACAATCTCCAATTATCACCCGCAACCCGGACTCCGGATCATGTTGGTCTTTCGTATGTCGACTTAATTGAAAAAAAAAAAAAAAAAATCTTTTAACTACAGTTAATATTTAAAATTTAAAAATTTTCAATGTTCTTTCATATTTTAAAATTGTTTTTTATATGAATATAAAATAAAATTTAAATGCTTATTTTTTGTTGACGTGTACTGTTCTGTCTACATATGGCCATGGGTCACCCGGTTTGGAACCGGCACGAACTCGGTCCGGTCCAACCTGTTGATGACGGGTCGTGGCCCGTGCCTGAATTTACACCGGCCAGTTCAAGATCGGCCATTTTGAAATCTGGGCCGGGTTGGTTCGCTCAGGAAAAATCAACTATTTTCAATTTATTTTAGTACGGGTCCCGAGCTGGTCTGGTTTTGGGTGGAAATTGGCCCGGCCCGTTGGGTCGTGTACCCGATACGTATTTAGGTATGGGCCAATTCAAGGTCGGCTATTTTGAATTCTGCAACTCACTGGGCGGGCCCGGCTCGAAATTTGGCTATGTCTAATTCTGCCCTTTCAACTTATCGAACTGGCTAAGTTAGAGCCCAAAAAAAGGCTAAAAAAGTCACTGGGACAGTGATTCAACACAAATAAATAATTTGTGTGTTCGAGCTAGAGCTTAATTGATTTATATTAAATAGTCTAAGAAACCCGAGTTTGAGAGCGTGTTTGTATAAAAATATATCCGATTCAAAATATGTTTTTTGGACTAACCAGAGTTAATTCTGAAAAAATAGATATGGTTAATTTTCGGCAGTCTTGGAGAAGAAGTACAAGACTAAAGATGTTGGAACAAAAAAACTCGTTGTCGACAAGTTTCTTGACTTTGAGATGGTTGACTCGAAAACCAGTGTATCTCAAGTGTTAGTTTCAACTTATCTTGCACGACATTCATGCTGAAGAAATAACTCTGAGCGAGTTCTTTTAAGTTACGGTTGTGATCGAGAAACTGCCGTCGGGTCGAAAATGCCTTGTTACGTGTGTATAACTAAAAATAATTAAAGAGAAAATAAAGCAGAAGATCAAATTCCTTTTACTAATGGCAGGGATGCCTTATTAATGCATAGGAGGATTATTGCAACTAGTAGTTGTTGCAGTATTAAACTATGTCCAACTGATAGCAATTGGACTCCGGACGACATGATTATTCCAATCGCACCACTTAATTTCACCAAATTTGTGTGTGCCCGGCGGCATTGGTCCGGTTATCTCGAACGTCACGGTATAAGACCTCATCTCATTTCTTTTACGAAAAGTCAACCTATTAGGGAGAACGGAAATCTTGACTGAGTTGCTTGGTGAAGAGATGGAGACCATGTACGTGGACCAGAATGATCCGACGTTGGTAACCACTCTCTTGTGTGTAACCACTCTTGTGGTGTTGATATCAGCTGGCACTTGAACGACGAACGAGGGGTAGTTCAAGTCGGTCGCGCTGTATGCATTCTTGGGGTCACATGTGAAATTTTGTTTTGTGATGATCTTCATCTGCTGGGACGTGTAGTTGAGCGCACAGAGGAAATTTAGATAGTCGTCGGGGGTAATATTGTAGACCAACCCTGGGTCAAGGGCGGGTATGGGATTCACGTGCCCTGCTCCATGATCGAATGGCGTGGACTTTTTGCCTGTGGATGCATCTATCATGGGGTTCCCTCTCTTGTCGGTCGTGTAGGCTGTGGTCATGAGTGCCGATCGGATAGCTGCGGGACTCCAGTCTGGATGGGCCGCCTTGAGCAGAGCCGCCAGGCCGCTAACATGAGGGCACGACATCGAAGTTCCAGATATTATGTTAAAATCAACCCTGCGTGTGTCGATGCTCAACTCCGCGGGGCTCAGTGCCCCGGACCACGCGGCTAGAATGTTCACACCTGGAGCTATCAGGTCCGGTTTCAACACCTGGGGGGTGATTGAGCTCGGTCCCCTTGAGCTGAAATCAGCGACCACGGGCGACGGCTCAGCCCCAAACCTTGTTTCGCCAAATATAATTGTGGCCGTTGGGCTGCGATTCGACCACAGGTATCTCCTTATCTCGTCCCCTGCCTTCTGGCCGACATTCAAGGCGGGAAGCAAGTGAGCGTCCGCCTCTACCTCCTCGCCATGGACATTGGTGTTAGCCAGAACCATACCAACCCCACCGGCTTTCTTAACCACAATGCCCTTCTCGCATCTGTCATTTTCCCCTCGGTCACACAACACAATTTTACCCCTAACCCTTTTCGGGATGAGAGTGTCAATCAAACAGAAGCGGCCGTGGGTGCCGTTTTCGCTTGCTTGCCCAGCGTAAACAATGGGCACTAGTTTATGGGGCAGTGAAGAACCTTCGCAGAAAGATGTACTAGCATAAGTTTTCCCGTTGCCGAGCTTGACGTAGGCGGGAAAGTCTCGATCTATTGTCCCAGCGCCAACGGTGGCTATCCATGGGGCCAAGTTCACCGTGCTGGAGGAGTTGGGCCCCGAGTTTCCAGCGGAGCAGGAGATGAAAATACCATTGGCTGCGGCGGTGAAAGCACCGATGGCGACACTTTCTCTGTATAACGGAACCGGTGAAGAAATCCCCAATGAGATGGACAATATGTCGACTCCATCGCTAATGGCCACATCGAAGGCCATATATATATCGGAGTTGTAACACCCGCCAATCCAGCAAACCTTGTATATGGCGACCCTGGCCTGCGGCGCTATACCGCGTGCCGTCCCATTGGCGTACCCGAACAGGTTGGCGCTGGGGACAGCAGATCCAGCAGCAGTGGATGCAGTGTGGGTCCCATGGCCTCGGTTGTCCCGCGCCGATTTGTACTCTCTGGACCAGTTAACAGGGGGATCGGCATTGTATTCATAGCCATTCAAGAAGTACCTGGCCCCAATCAATTTCTTGTTGCACATGGATTCATCAAAGTGGGACCCTTGCTCACATTCTCCTCGCCAGGATGTGGGGATGGGCCCATATCCTGCGTCGTTGAAGCTCCGGCTCTCTGGCCAGACGCCAGTGTCGATGACCCCGATGACAATGTTCTGCTGTCGAGCTTTGGGGAGATTGTATCTGATCTTGTAGTCGTAGTCCAGCCTGTCCAGGCCCAGAAATGTGGGGGTCCGGGTTGTGGAGAGCTCCAGCCTGGAGTCGGGCTGGACGGAAAGAACCCCGGCCCGGGACGCCATTAATCGGGCCTCCTCGTCTGTGAGGCTGCCTGCGAATCCATGTATCACTTGGTCGTAAGCATAGAGCATCTTGTCCGAGCCCGACACCGACTTGAGCGTCGAGGCGTACCAATGGGTGTGGTGCTTGAATTCCGCCGGCATTTCGGATTTGGACATGTGGACGATGTAAGTCTTCTTGGCCGCCATGGATAAGTGGAATATAGCTACAAGCAGTACTAATCCAACCGTTAAAGTCGTCGGAATTTCCATTTGTTTTTTTTTTCTTCCTTTTTTTTTTCGCTTTTTCTATTTTTTCAAACTTTGTAGGTTTAGGCAAGATATTGATGATAGTGAAAATCTTGGAAAGCTGTGAAATATAGCGAGTTGAATTGTGTATGTATATATAGATGGTTCACCTTTGTGCTTATAAAGAGCTGTTAATAAATCCAATATTATGTTTGCATTATTCAAGAAAGTTCCTAGCAAATTTGCAAAAGCACTGAGAGTAAATCTAACAATTAGCATAGCAACTATATATTTTTTTATTAGATACTAGTAAGTTGCACGTGCGGAGCACGTGAACCATATAGTGTGTCTAATTGGATTTGCGTATGTGATTAAGTTGATTTGACAAAATTATATTATTTATGATATAATTTCAAGTTAAATATAAGTATATTTATATATTTAAGTGAAAAATAGCTAGGATCATACAAACTCACTCCTATTTCTATTATTTGTCGTTTTGAGAAACAACCCGTTAATTAAAAAAAAAATTGATTGCCAATATTAACCTTATTTAATGATGTATGGAAAAAGATGGAGATGTGATATGAAGAGACACTGTGTATTAAATGGAGGGTTAAAAATGGAAAAATATGAACAAAATAGCTAAAACGACATTTATTTAATCAATGATCAATTAAGTCATAATGACAAATAATAAAAATAGGAGGGAGTATATGAGAAACAAATTGTAAAGGGTGTGATTAGATATGAGTTATAAGAGGTCTTAATCGGTTATGATCGGTTGACTTATTTCATACTTCATTTAATTTTAATCAAACAAAATTGGTTAAAACTGGTTGGCTTTATATCCAACCATGCCTAAAAGGCTCAACAAATATTCGTTTTGGAAGTTTGAAGACAATCAATTTAATGCTAATTGAACAAATATTTCAAGTAAAAATCAATAAGAGTTGAAGACACGTATACAAAGACTAACATAAATATAAAATAATTTTATTTGCATTAACACATTGTCAAAAAATCATGAAATTTTAAATTTTAATTGAAAATGATATGATAATGTGGACATGGTAAAGTTTCTTTTGCCTAAAAAGTTAATCTAATATTAATAGAACAATCGGTTCTATCTATTAGCATTTTAATTTTAATTTTTTACTTTATTGTGGTTCACAAGTAACATATTAATCAACTTAATCTATCTCATATTAAAGACTAAATATTAACAACTTGAATTAGTCATATTCGCTTTTATCCAAGAGTATAGAA